TTGGAAGAAATCAAGCGGGAGATGAAAGAGTCGGCTGAGAAAAATCAGCGCGAGGTGAGGGAGTGGCTGGAGAAGATGACCCAGCGACTTGACACCCTCCGGCCTCAAGAGAGGAGCGATCGTTCGCGTGTCGCCTACCAGAGGCGAAAACCAACCCCAGAGGACGTTTGCTTCAATTGCAAACAAAAAGGACATTTTGCAAGGAGTTGCAAACAACCCAGCGCAGAGAAGAAAATTAAGTCAGGAAACGACCAGCAGCTGCCCCAGCGGCCCGTGGGAAAGCTGGCGGAACAGCAGGGCCAGAAGGCGCCGTAGAGTACCGCGCTGGAGAGAATTTAGGCGAGAAAATCGAAGGCGACAAAGAAACCTCAACAAAGACAAGTAAAGTAGCGGGCAATGGCCTATTCGTGCAGGCTATTGTGAGAGGGGTCAAAGTAAAACTTCTTGTTGACACAGGGGCAACACACACTGTGTTGTCGTCTCAACTTTATTTCAATATTTCCAGGGATCAAAGACCAAGACTTACAACCATAGGCGCAGGAGTACGGAATGCTGATGGGAGTAAGATGGAGACACTCGGTAGTGCCTACGTAGACATTCAAGTTGGCAAAACAATGAACTCCATCAACGTAGTCTTTGGCAACACAGGACAGATGCAAGGCATATTAGGGATGGATTTCCTGATTCCAACCCAGGGTAACCTAGACTTTCGGACGCTAGAGCTGAAGTTAAATGGGGAAACCATCAAGTGCACAGATGACCGAGGGGGTGGACTGTGTGCTAGAGTGGTCGTAGGTGAAACTACCAGAGTGCCAGCTGGTCATGAGGCGCTAGTTCCAGGATACGTGTATGGTAACAAGTCGAATGGTGTAGTCGGAGTGATTGAGCCTACAGGGAGGAGTGAAATAGCAGATAAAGGCATGATAGTGGCAAGGGTGCTGGTGATGGCGGGTGAGCATTCACTTCCCATTCGAGTATACAACCCCGGCAAGAGAGAATGTGTCGTGCAGAAAGGGACGACGGCAGAGACGTTTACGCCTGTAGGTGAAGGCGACGTACAAGAAGTACAATCGGGGGCTTCTTCGCCGGGAGACTCCTACGATGTTCCTGAACATCTTGTGGACTTGTTCGAGCGAAGCAAGAAAGGCGTGGAGCCGGGACACCACAACAGAATAGCTCAGCTGTTGTGCCAATATGAGGACATTTTCTCAAAGGGAGAGGGAGACATAGGACGCACAGACTTGGTTCGCCACCGCATTACTACAGGTGATGCCCGGCCCATAAAGGAGAGACCAAGGAGATATCCTCCCGTTGAACAGGCGGAAATCCAGCGGCAGGTGCAAGAAATGGTGCGGAATGGCACCATTGAACCTTCGGACAGCCCTTGGGCATCCAACGTAGTCCTCGTGAGAAAGAAAGACGGAAGTAAGAGGTTTTGTGTAGACTACCGTCGCCTAAACGCAGTCACAATTAAAGACGCCTACCCGCTCCCCCGGATCGATGATTCACTAGACGCGCTGGCAGGCTCCAGGTGGTTTTCCACCTTGGATTTGGCTTCCGGCTATTGGCAGGTCGAGTTAGACGACGAGGCCCGGGAGAAGTCTGCTTTTGTGATCCGTGGAGGCTTATACAGCTGGCGAGTAATGCCGTTCGGGCTATGCAACGCCCCCTCCACGTTCGAGTGATTGATGGAGAGGGTGTTAGCCGGACTGCATTGGGAGACGCTACTCGTCTACCTCGACGATGTTATTGTGTACGCAAAGACGGCTGAAGAGGAGTTGAGTCGCCTTGAGACAGTCTTTCAGCGCCTAAGGAAGGCAGGTCTAAAACTTAAACCAAAGAAATGTCACTTGTTCGAGCAGCGTGTTCTGTACCTGGGACACGTAGTGTCTGGGGATGGGATTGCGACAGATCCGGAGAAGGTGAAGGCTGTACGGGATTGGCCTACACCTACGACGGTAAGGGAAGTGCAGAGTTTCTTAGGACTAGCGTCCTATTACCGCAGATTCATCAGAAGCTTTGCTGATAGGGCTCGTCCGTTACACCGCCTGACAGAAAAGGGGAGAGTGTTCGAGTGGACGAGTGAATGCGAAGAATCATTTCAAGACTTGAAGAACAGTCTTCAGGAGGCACCTGTCTTGAAGTTCCCTGACCAAGAGGCTGAGTACATACTAGACACCGACACGAGTGGCGTGGGCATAGGCGCGGTCCTATCACAGGTGACGGACGGGAAGGAAATGGTGGTCGCCTATGCTAGTAGAACGCTTAGTAAGGCGGAACGCAACTACTGTGTGACGCGCCGTGAATTGCTGGCAGTCGTCGTATTTCTGAAGCAGTTCCGACAGTACCTGTACGGTATGAAGGCCACTATAAGGACAGATCACGGAGCTCTACGTTGGCTTCTCAACTTTCGAGAGCCACAGGGTCAGATGGCGCGTTGGCTGCAGGTTATAAGTGAATACAACTTCACGATTATCCATCGAGCAGGACGCTCACACGGCAACGCAGACGGATTGTCGCGCATACCATGTAATCAGTGCGGACGGGATGAACAGAACGAAGTGCCAAAGCTGACGACACCTGTAGGTGAAGATGCCTATGAGGAGACAACAGTTCCTGTAGCAGGAGTGAGAAGTGTGACCATTTCGCCTACCATCACCTGCACGGAGATGAGAGAGGCGCAGATGGAGGACACATCAATTAGCTGGGTGCTCAAGGCCAAAGAGGAGTCAGCAGAGAGACCCGACTGGGCAGTGATGTCTGCAAGGTCTTCAGCGGTGAAGACATACTGGCGATTGTGGGAGCAACTTGCGGTGCGAAAAATACCGCGACAAGTTGGTGAAAGAGTTACATGGAGGGAAGACAAGCGGGCATTTGGGAGTGAAGAAAACCAGGGCCAAGGTCCGCGATGCGATGTGTGCGCGAAGCGGAAATCCCCCGCCAGGGCTAGGAAGGCGCCACTACAGCAGCATGTAGTGGGCGCGCCTATGGAGCGTGTCACGCTAGACATTATGGGCCCCCTACCAGAAAGTGCGAAGGGCAACAAATACATCCTAGTCGTAGGAGACTACCTTAGTAAATGGATGGAAGCTTACCCCATACCTGACCAGACAGCGGAAACAGTGGCAGAGAAGTTTGTGAAGGAGTTCGTATGCCGATTTGGAGTGCCAGAAGTCCTTCATTCCGACCAGGGCCGTAACTTCGAATCGACGGTGTTTGCAGAGATGTGTCACATCCTTGGCATTGACAAGACACGGACTTGCCCTTACAACCCGAAGTCCGACGGAATGATTGAGAGATTCAATCGTACGTTGATAAACATGGTCGCCATGATGATAAAGCCTGATAGGCAACAGCGTGATTGGGACGACAAACTTCCGCTGGCAACATTTGCATATCGAGCGACGCCGCAGGAGTTGACAGGCGAGTCCCCAAACATGCTTATGTTGGGGCGGGAGGTACGCCTACCCATTGATCTGACTACTGAAGTAGCAGCGGGCGAAACGGAACCGGAAGGCGTCGTAGGAACGGACTACGCGAACGAGCTGCGGAAACGAATGAGAGCTGCTCATGACAGGGCCCGAGTTCGCTTGCAGCAGAGCGCCCGGAGGCAAAAGAAAACTTATGATCGACGAGCAACAAGACCCAAACTGGAGCCCGGTAACTTTGTGTGGTTACATAACCCGGCCAAAAAGAAGGGACTATCACCTAAACTTCAGTGCAGATGGGAGGGACCCTACCTCATCCTGGATAAATTATCGGACGTCATCTACAGGATACAAAGGAAAAAGAAGGGGAAGATGAAGGTCGTCCACTGCGACCGACTGAAACCCTACCTAGGTGAGCCGATCCAGGCGTGGGCCGAAACACCGAGACAAGCGGACAGTCATCCCTTAGACGCAGGTGACACACCAGAGGAACCGGAGCCAAATCCGATGAGTCCAATTCCTTACGAGGGAGAAGAACCTGAACTCAGTACTACGCCAGAAACGCCTAGCCTACCACTTGAGGAGGTGCAGGCGGGGGAGGAAGGCGTTCAATCCGAAAGACAAAGCCAAACAGAACAAATTGGCGGCAGGCTCGCAGCACCACTACCAAGACGGAATCCTGCCAGGGACCGCAGGATACCAGATCACCACTAGAGGATGCAGCAGAGATAGCTTTGTCACCTATGTCAATGTCATGGGACATTGACGAAGTCGAGGCTCCTGTGAGCAACGTACGTCCGACGCCTGCAGGAGGAAAACCCCTAAGTATGATGAGGGAGATGAGGCAGCAAGGCGCTGAACAACAGGCGATGTCGTCGGATGAGTCTTCCACGGGGAGGCAGGAAGATGGCAATTCACCTAGGGAGTTGCGGGTTAGCTATTTGCTGTCGGGGCTTTCTGTGAGGATCACTGAAGGTGGACACACCAAAGTCATAACTGGCACAACCCAAACCGTGCACGAACGCCGTGCGCGCCACTACGACGTAGTATTGTTAAGGCCCCCGGCTCCCACTGCGAGCTCGGGAGCTGATGATGACAAACAACCTACAAGGATCTGCCGGCTGATGAGGAATGAGGACGCTGGTACCATAGGCGCCAGACCCCCGATGATTAACGAGGAGCTCGAGAGGAGCATGATAGGAAACATCACCAAGATAATGGAAATGGAGACATGCAGTGTTTGCCAAGAAGGAATGCTGGTGACCAAGGACCAGACCCGAGCGGGTCTTCAATGTGAATTTCCTGGCAGGAGTTCGCTAAGATGAACATGAACATTGAACTTTAGGCGGGCAAATAGAAGAGATATTTGCGCCTTTTGTTAAACCTAAAGCCAAGCTATAGTTAAATAGAACTTTAGGCGGGCAAATAGAAGAGATATTTGCGCCTCTCGTTAAACCTAAAGTCATGTTGGCCATCTTTTGTATAAATGTTGCACCTAAGTTTTGTGCCTCAAAGTTCTCGTTAAGGTTTATATAAGAGTTTATATAAGCTGTTAGATTTATGATGCTGTTAAGGGTATCAAACAGTTTTAAGCTTGTTCAATTTATAAAGATGTTAAAGTTTATCTCAGAGTTGTATCCTTGTTCTTTAAGTTCAGTTTATAAGGATGCCAAAGTTTATTTAAGAGGTTTAAACTTGTTGAGGAGAATCACCTACCAATGTTCTAAGGCGATAGTCATGTAGGTGTCACTAGGATTATCACTGTAAAGTGCAGCAGACTTTTGGAAGTAATTTGATTTAGAGATTAGGCATTGCTTTTATTTAAGTAATCAGTTTGAGGTCAGGGGCTGACCGAAACTTGGAAGGCGCCTGTGTAGCGCAATGCATTTTATGGAGGGCGCACTTTAATTCTTTACTAGTAGCCGGCGGGGTGCGCGTGCACTCACCCAGGTTTATGGGGGCACCAGCCAATTGCGCCAGTGTATATAAGCGGCCATGCGCTCAGCTTCGCCCTCTTTCTGCTGTGGCCGGAACCCGTGCGCGGTCTCAGGAAAAGTTGCACTGTTCTAATCTCCCACAATTAACCAATCACCAATCACCTATAGTCGCAGCGGAGGGAGCCTCATACTTTGTGTGAGTGTAGTTAATTAATGATTCCTGCATTACAATCCAGATAATTAAGTAATCTCTGAGTTTGTAAGGGAAGTGATTGAGTATAAGATCACGTAGGCGAGGCGCCTGGGTAGGCGAATAAAATAATCTTCCGAAACACATATCTGGTGTCAGGTCCCCATCCTTCCCCAGTCCCCCTAGTTAGTCCGCTTGGGTTGTGTGAGCGAGAGTGCGTGTGAGGGTGATCCTTTGGTAGTCTGCTGCGGGCCTCGTGGTAAATCTCCGCCGAAACGGATCTGCGTACCCGACCGTAGAGGCTAGGCCGTTCGCCGCTACTCGCCGGGGCAGTCGTCCGAGGCAGTACCGCTACAATACTGTGCTGTGTGAGTAGGGTTGTGTACAGCTGCTGGTAATTGCTATGTGATCAGTGCACCATCAGCCTGCACAGGAAAACCACAAAGGTTGCTAGTATTGCTACTCCCTAGCTCATTAGTATGTATTAGTTTTTGTGGTAAATTGATATTGAGTGCAGCACTGACTAGGAGTTTTAGTGTTCTCACCTGGACTCGAATGTTGCTGTGAATATTTAAGTAGGTGGATTAAGAAACAACTTGTTCCTTGATAATTTTACCTACGAGCGTATTTTCCTCAACTAGGAACCTTTATTATTTGACGAAAGAATTCAATAAGTTCGAAATTTGTTTGATTTAACTTTGATTTAACTTTGATTTAATTTTCCTATTTCTTAGACTCTAGTTTACTGTAGTTATATACTTAACATAGTTTGATGTTTACTAATTATTGTTTCCTTTCTGTATTTTTATTATAGACTTACCCATCAACCCTTTTTCTTTGTTGCTGTTAAAATAAACTTGTAAAAAGAGCCAATATCCGGGTCACATATGGATCCACCCTGCTAGCCCCCCCCCCCCCCAAATATTGGCTGTAGAACCCCACCTGATGGTCACTTGACCAATATTGACCCAAGTAACGGCATGGCTCAGAATGCATGTTTGCATAGGAGGGTTAATGCAGTAGTGTTAATTTGTTGTGCCAGGCCTTTAAAATGCTCCCTGAAGGTTCACTAGGGGCCTTGTCCCATAGCTCCTAGTGTTAACCAGGGGAAACATCCTGTGCTTGGAGGGTGTAATTAATAGGCTAACTATTGATATCTTTATTACGGACCTCCTTAATCTGAGAATACAGTATTTTTATATTATTTAAAACAAGATTGATCATTGGATGTTCCTTTGTTTTATTATTACAGTTCTTGATCTTACCAGGTGTAATTGGAGTGACAGCTGCCTGTAAGAGAGATCGATGCACGGTAAGGTGTTTTTAATAAATACTGTGTGTTAATTAAGGGAAGGGGGGGGGGGAGGTCTGTGAGTCAAGGAGATAATGATGGTCTGTGTGCCTCTTCCACCCCTAAAAAAGGGGTTTGCAAAATCAGGATAAAAGAAATATTCCTTTTATAATTAACATCTTAACAATAATTTATACAACAGCACGGTTCGAACCATGGTCATGTCCCCCCCCAACTATTTTCATCCCCGAATACACACAATTGTAGCCTAACAATTCTATAGCTCAGAATTGCTGATAAAATGAAGTGTTAATGATTATCTACTGCTAAAACAAAAATATGGCTAAAGTCTCCGGTTTCTGGTCTGCGCACACATCACTGTAGCACTGCACATCAAAGTTTTTTCCAATGTAAGATGACGTTTGAAACCGCCAATCTCACTGGTTTGACTGGAGTCCTGCTGCACTGCACAATTTGGTGCAGTCAATCGAGAATAAGCTTTATGTGGCCTCTCATATTATTTGCATTAAATTTAGTCGGGCACCATTTACAGATGGTGTTGTAATTGTGCATCTTGAAGCCAGACTGAGGGAGCGATAGTAGTGCATCTGGAACCTGTAAACGCTTTTTCAATATTTAAGGGAGCAGACTAATGACCAGCCTGGCAGTGGCAGCACATGCACGATGTTGATGTTGCTGTATTTTGTGTGTGTATGGGTCTGGCGTTTAATACCATTTTCTCTGATTTTTCTCATGACTATCCAAATTTTCCGAAAAATGTTTGTGTGGGTTGAGATCGTAAGTGGGTGCAGAATTCTCAAGCCCTATGGCCTTACTGAAGTCACCTCAAGCTACATCCTGAAGCCTGAGAGTTTTTAGGGGGTCAAAGCGTCATCTGCAATACCAGCCAACAACTTTGTTCCGACTTCTGTGCCCCAACGATAAAAAAAGTAAGGCAAAAAAAATGTTTTTGCCGCACCACTTTTGGAGCAAGCTCCATAGCAGAAACCTGAGACATGTTTTTTTTTTTGCCGTATAGTTCTGACCACTTTTGAGAAGCGATTCACGCCCCTGGTGCTAACAGGCTTTTAGGACCTATTCCAGTTTGGCCTGGCTTGATTTGTACAGTACTTTGTACTTTGAATTTGGTGCCGGTGCCTAGGGCAGAGTACAGCCTACAGAACTCTGGTGCCCAGGTGCTACGAAACACTTAATCCTGGCTGGCTTGTCCATCAGTTGCCTGGTTTGTGAATGAGTTGCCTGCCCTGCAAAGCAAACGATTTGCTTGCTCCGTGGGCAATCCGCCCACTGGTGGTGGTCCTTCGGATCCGAAGAAGACGTCATAGTTTGGCAACTCGATGAACTCGGAGGTGGCTCCGCAATCCGAAGCTGGATTGACAGAGTATGGAGCAATGGGGGCACTGGAAGTCAGTCGTTGTTGTCGGCCGGTTGTCTCGCTGGTGGCGTTTTTCCCTCGCTGCAATCAGATGTTGTCGACGGGCCTCATCGAACCTGGAGCTGGCCTTGTGCACAAACGATCCCCAAAGTGGTCTATTACTGGCGTGGGACTCAAGGTCCTTAGGATGTATGTCGCACATCTGGAGGTTGGATTTGATGCAGTCCTTGAACCTCTTCTTGGGCCGACCCTGCTTTCGTCTGTCGCACGCCAATTCTTCGTACAGCAGGTGTCTTGGCATCCGGTGTTCCTCCATGCGAATGACGTGCCCCACCCATCTCAGCTGGGCCTTGATGAGTACCGATTCTATGCTGTTAGACTTTGCACGGTCGAGAACCTCGAGGTTTGTGACGCGGTCATGCCACTGGATACCAAGGATGGAGAGCACGCATGTGGAAGCTCTCCAGCTTTTTGATGTGCCTGCGATATAGTGTCCATGATTCACATCCATAGAGGAGAGAGTGGAGAACCACAGCATTGTAAACTTTGAGTTTGGTCATCAGGCGTATGTTGTGCTGGTTCAGGACTCTGTTGCGGAGCCTCCCTAGCGCTTGGCTTGCTTTGCTGATGCGGGTGTTGATCTCCTCATCAAGGGAGCCATCGTGTGAGATGATGCTACCCAGGTACCTGAAGCTCTGGATGTTGGAGAGCCGGGTGCCATCGATGGTGATGGTTGGAGGAGGGGAGTCATTGTTTAGAGCAGGCTGGTGGAGCACTTCGGTCTTGCTGAGGCTGATTGTCAGGCCAAACAGCTTGCAGGCTTCTGTAAAGCGGTCCAGCATGAGCTGCAGGTCGGAGTCTGTGTGGGCCATCAGTGCGCAGTCATCGGCAAAAAGTGCTTCTTGGATGAGGTCGTAACGACACTTGGTTTTGGCGGTGAGGCGACGGAGGTTGAAGAGGGAGCCATCCAGGCGATAACGGATGGAGACTCCTTTCTCCAGGTCTTGGTCGGCGTGTGACAGCATTTGGGCAAAAAAGATGTTAAACAGGACCGGCGCCAAAACGCAGCCCTGTTTCACACCATTGCTGATTGCAAACTCTTCGGTCACTTCGCCGCTAGTGAGGACCTGACCGGTCATGCCGTCGTGAAAGAGCCGTATCACTTTGATGAACTTCTTCGGGCATCCAATGCATTCGAGCACAGTCCAGAGAGCTTCTCTGTTGACCGTGTCGAATGCCTTGGTCAGGTCAATGAACACTGAATAGAGGGGCATGTTCTGTTCTGTACACTTTTCCTGTAGTTGTCTCACAGCAAAAATCATGTCCACCGTGCTTCTGGCGTATCTAAAGCCGCACTGTGCTTCGGGAAGAATTCGCTCAGAGACGGTGACCAGCCTGTTGAGGATGACCCTTGCAAAGATTTTCCCGGCAATGGAGAGAAGCGAGATGCCCCTGTAGTTGCCACAGTCCGCCCTGCTACCCTTGTTCTTGTACAAGGAGACTATGAGGGCGTCACGGAAGTCATCCAGCATCTTCTCCTCGTCCCACACACTCTGCAGAATATTGTGGAAGGCTTCAAGGGCGTTGGGGCCTAGTGCTTTGTAGATCTCTGCAGGTATGCTGTCCTTCCCTGACGCTCTGCCGGAGCTGGTCTGGCGGATTACCTTCTTGATCTCGGTCATTGTTGGGGGAGAGTCGAGTTCCTCCACTGCAGGTTGCTGTGGAATCTGGTGAAGCGCAGCCGGGTCCACGGTTGACGGTCTATTGAGTAGGGTGCTGAAGTGTTCCTTCCAGCGTTCTTGGAGCCCTGCCTGGTCCTTGATCAGGGTTGCACCGTCCGAGGACAGCAGTGGTGAGCATACCGAGGTCGAGGGGCCGTAGACTGTCTTCAGGAAGCTGAAGAATTTCTTGGTATTATGGGTGTCAGCGTACATCTGGACCTCTTCGGCTTTCGCCTGCCACCACTTGTCCCGCATCTCTCGCAGCTCAGCCTGCAACTTTGCCTGGAGGGACTTAAACCTCGCTCTTTTGGGCACTGAAGTGGGATCGTTCTGCCATTCAGTGTAGGCTTTGTTCTTGGCAGAGAGGGCGGTTTGGATATTTTCCTCATTCTCATCAAACCAGTCTTGGTGAGTCCTTGCTTTCGGGCCGAGCACCTCCTTCGCCGTCTCGGAGCCGATGGTCTTGAAGGCGGACCATTTCCCGATGCTATCACTGTCAGAGGGTAGGCCCTCCTGAAATTTCTCGTCGAGAGTCTGTTGGAACTTGGCGAGGTAGGACTCGTCCTTCAGCTTGGCAGTGTTGAAGGAGGCTCTGATGGTCTTGGGTTTATTTCTGTGTGGCGGTGGGATGTGCACATGACCGATCTCACTAGTCTGTGGTCTGTCCAACACTCGGCACCTCTCACGGCGCGGGTCACGCAGACGTCCCTGAAGTCACGATGACAAAGTCTATCATATGCCAGTGTTTCGACCTTGGATGCATCCACGTGGTTTTGTATTTATCCGCCATCCTGAACAAGGTGTTGGTGATGCACAACCCATGTTCCGCACACTTGCTGAGGAGGAGCAGGCCGTTGTCGTTGACATTGCCCACACCATGTCGCCCTAGGACTCTCTCCCAGCTGTCGTAGTCCCTGCCCACTCACGCGTTGAAATCCCGAGGATGACAAGCTTGTCAGCCTTGGGGGTGGTCTTGATGGTCTCGTCGAGGAGCTGGTAGAACTGTTCTTTGGCCTCATCTGGGCTTGAGAGTGTGGGTGCGTAGACACTAACGATAATAAGGTTCCTGTTCTTGGTGAGAGGGATGCGAAGCTTCATGAGTCGTTCGCTGATCCCTACTGGAAGCTCAGGAAGGTTCTTCACAAGCGTTGACCTAATGGCGAATCCTACTCCGTAGATCCGGTCTTCAGCTTGCCGTTTCCCTTTCCAAAAGAAAGTGAATCCACCTCCCTCTTCCTTCAGGGATCCCTTGTCGGCAAAGTGGGTCTCGCTGAGTGCAGCGATATCGACACGGTATCGCTGGAGTTCCCTAGCCACTAGCGCGGTTCTTCTCTCGGGTCTGCTGGTGTTAGCATGGTCAAGGAGTGTTCTGACATTCCAGGCTCCCATGATGAGTTTTCTTTTCTTTTTACTTTCTTTGTTATTATTTCGACCGCAGTTAGGATGAGTCTGTCAACCGCGGTAAGCTGACCAGACTTAAGAGGGCAAAGCATTTGTTTAGGGTACCTTTTCTAACCCCCTCCCTCATGCAACGGTGGGCAGTGCTGTCCTAAAGAGGCTGCCCAGTCGCCCTGGGTGCTGCCGAGCTCTCCTGGTTGCCCTCAAAGTTCAGGAGAAGAGCGACCACTCTCCTAAAGGCCGCCTACATGCAGGTTTGTGACTAACAAGTGCCAGTGCTCACCAAACACCTGTTGCCTTCGCCACTCGCCCATCGCCGCAGGACTTTTTAGGGGACGACAGATCGGTGATGAGTTGCATAACAGACCTGTGCGTGAGTGTTTTATAGTGGGAGAATCGTTGCATAGGGGTAATCCCACTCTCTCGGCCTGGTGAGTCTTGATCCAATGGCACGAGGAGCCGTTACAATTGGACACTGCCAGGCTGCAGTGGATGACCAGGACTTACTATGTGTCACGTCCATGCTCTAACACGCTCCACAAGCACTTGCTGACACCGCCTTCACGACCGTTGGATCCACTTTTGATCTCATCCGCTCGCTCTGCCGGGAATCAGTCTTCACATGCTAGGGCTGACATACCCTTAACCCTTTGAAACTACTTTGCCGGGGGTGTGGCCGCTGTCGCATGCAAACAGCTACGAGTATAGACTACCAACCAAGGCTAACGAGCTCTACCTGCCCGGGTTTGTGATCAGAGTTGTCCTTCTCCTAGGCAGACAGCGGTCCTAGGCTGACGAGTTCTACCTACCCGGGTTTGAGATCAGAGTTGTCCCTCTCCTAGGTGGACTGGCAACCAAGCCTACGAGCTCCACCTACCGGAGCACCTGGTTATAGCGCCAGGAACACCGTCTGCCGTTCAGTAAAAAAACAGGGTTGGCGCGAGAGGCCAGACAGTAGGATTTGGTTAGGAGAGGCTAATGTTGAGACGCTGTGCTATGTAATGGGATATTTCAGTGGGAGAGGAGCTGCTCATATCTCCAGTCCACCCCAGCACGTCCTAACCCATTTAACGCCCACTACGCAGTGATAAATTCATGAACAATCAACTTGTGGGGTCTGTTATCCCAATGTTACTCCATGCTGCCCCCCCCCCACAAGGAACCATGATCTTGTCTTTTACGTCTGACAACTTGGGACAATGGGTTGCCTTTGATAACATAACTCTGAGGACCTGAGCCCAAACCTTCCAAAGGTTTTCGTGTACAAACATTATCAGAAGTGTCGAGAAAGAGTAAAAGTCAACAAAGAAAAGAACAATAAGGGTGCTCACAAGTATAATAAAACTAAGTGGGGGTGTGTGTACACCCCCGCACACTTAAGAATATTTCTCATGTGGGGAAAAATATAGTAAGAAAAATGTGGGGTAACCCTTTGAACAATTGCTAGGTCACCTTTTTGGAATCCTTTTCTAAATATTTGATATACTGTGGCGGGAATATCTGTGACCCGATCCGTAGTCCCTTTACCCAGACAACCTAGCTTAGGATAAGTACCCCAGCAGCCGGGAATGCAGGCCCGTTTGGATGGAAATATACCGCCCTATACGCGTAGCGGCACTCACCCATGCCCCTCAACCTTCAATGACCTCAATTACAATCTGCCTCGAAGTTGCGACCCTGATCTGAGTGCAATTCTTTTGGTACGCCATATCGACAAACAAAGTTCTCCACAAATGCCTTGGCTACCGTCTCGGCTGTACTGTCGGGGAGGGCATAAGCCTCCATCCACTTGGTGAAGTAGTTGGCTATAACAAGCACCCATTTGTTGCTTCCCTCTGTCTCCAGCATTGGGCCGACGAGATCCAACGCCACCCTTTCCATCGGAGCCCCGATTTTGTACTGTCTGAGCGGTGCACGCCTCTTCCAAGCGGGCGACTTTCGTTTAGCACAGATATTGCATTTCCTGCACCAGGCTCTCACGTCCGCCACCATTCCAGACCAGTAATATCTCAATCTCAACTTCGCAAGTGTGCGACTGATTTCAAAGTGTCCTCCGGTCTTCCCTCCATGCAACTCATCCATCTTCACCTCTTGAAGGCCGACTGGGAGGACTATCTGCCACTTTACCTCCCTACCGTCGTTTGATTCCCATCGCCGACATAGCACTGACTGTCTCATCTCTAGCTGGCCCCATTGCGATCAATAAACTTTGACCGCAGTTGCACGGGAGGACATGCTCTTCCAATCTGGCCTCTGATCCGACTCCTCTTTCCCAAGTACTACCCAGGCAATGGAGGGGTCTTTCAGCTGACCCTCCCGCAAGTCGTCTGTGGTAACGTTTGGCTCGGCAACAACCTCTCTCACATCCGCCGGCGTAGGTGCCTCTACAGTATCGTCGTCCACACGTCCACACTGCTTGCAAGGTCGACGTGACATGCCGTCTGCATTTCCATGTTTCTTCCCAGGGCGATGAACTATTTCATAGGTGTACTGCCCAAGCACCTCCAGCCATCGAGCGATTTGCCCCTCTGGGTTCTTAAAAGTGACTAACCACTTTAATGCCGCATGGTCCGTTCGAACAAATATCTCTTGTCCGTATAGGTACTGCTTGAAGTGTTTAAGATAGACAATAATTGCAAGGAGCTCTCTGCGCGTCACGCAATAATTCCTCTCGCGTAGGCAATAACGCGCTCCTCTCCATTTTGCACTTGCGACAAAACAGCTCCGATGCCGACTCCGCTAGCATCTGTATCCAATATGAACTTGCCCTCGGGTTCTGGGTATGCCAGTATTGGCGCCTCTTGCAGGTGAGTCTTCAAGGTTTGGAACGCCTCCTGGCATTCGTCACTCCAGTGGAAGACACGTGCTTTCTCAGTTAGCCTATGGAGCAGGCGAGCCACATCAGCAAAACCTCTGATGAATCTTCTATAATACGAGGCCAACCCAAAAAAACTCCTCAGTCCTTGGACGTCAGTCGGAGTTGGCCAAGATCGTATCACCTCCAGCTTGTCTGGATCGGTAGATACTCCCTCCGGGGACACCACATGTCCCAGATACTTAACTTGCTGTCGGAAGAGGTGGCATTTTCTTGGCTTTAATTTAAGTCCAGCCTCACGTAACCTCTGCAGAACCTCCCTCAAACGGTTGATTTCCTCCACGATGGTTCGTCCATACACAATAACATCGTCTAAATAGACGAGCAAGGTTTCCCACTGGAGGCCACTCATTATCCTCTCCATGAGACTCTCGAATGTGGCGAGGGCATTGCACAGACCGAAAGGCATAACCCTCCAGCTGTACATTCCCCCGCGCACAACAAAGGCAGACTTCTTCTGGGCCTCTTCATCAAGTTCGACTTGCCAATAGCCGGAGGAAAGATCTAGGGTTGAAAACCATCTTGCCCCCGCTAGTGCGTCAAGGGTGTCATCGATTCGTGGGACGGGGAAAGCGTCCTTGATCGTCCTTTCATTGAGCCCTCTGTAATCCACACAAAACCCCTGCGTTCCGTCCTTTTTCCGAACGAGAACTACATTGGACCCCCACGGGCTGTCGGATGGCTCTATAATCCCCCGCTTTAACAAGTCATCCACTTGCTTGTCGATCTCCTTTTGCTTACACAGGGGTTGTCGCCTCGGTCTTTCCCTAACAGGTCTGGCACTTCCGGTGTCTATGGTGTGTTTCACCCTGTCAGTCCTCCTTAGGTCGTGGTCTCCTCTGGAAAATACATCCGAGAACTCCGACAGCAACCTAGCAATGGCGTAATGATAGCGTGTATCTTGCCCTTCAACGCTTCGCTTCCAGAGGTCCTGAAGGTGTCCGGGGACATGTACATCTTCCGTTCCTTTTTCCATAGCCTCCTGTCGCACCTCATCTACATCCTCTTCATCCACTGGGGTGAGGCAGCCGGCAGTAACCCCACAGCACAGAACGCACTCCTGCCTCCCTGGGTTCAATACCCACAGCGGTAGTGTACCTCCATCCATGTTCACCAGTGACCTCGCAACTATAAGGCCCTTATCCGCTACCACTTCGCCTCCTCCGACTGGCTCTATTACACCGACATGACACGAATCAAGTGACTTATCCATCCTCCCTGGTATAATGGTTTCATGTCTCGGTGGTATGACAGTAGTTCTGGCTACCAAAATCCTTGTGCATAACGCTGTTCCCCATCGGCTTGTACACTTGATGTGTTCTCCATGCAACACAAGCTCCAAGGTCTTAAAGTCCATTATTCCTCCCGTGAGTATGAGAAAGTCCATCCCCAGAATTCCTTGTGCCTTAACCTTTGCAAAAACTGCACGTACTGGAAAAATGGTTCTTTCTACCTGTACCTCAATTTGTGCCAAGCCCTAAGTTTCTATCGGTGTCCCATCCGCCTGAAACACTTTTAAGCCATCTGTCTCTAGCCTCGGCCGCCTCTCAGCTGGAATTCTGTAATATACCTCGGCTGAAATAACTGTATCAGTAGTTCTGGTATCCACAAGGAGTGGAATGTCAAGGGAATGAATCTTCCCCTTAACATAAAGTCCTTTTTTGGGAGAAATTGTTGGTACCAGTATCTTCCGTTCTGCTTCCGGGTTGGTTTTAGGTTGACGGTTGACCCTGCTGTGATTTCAGCCCTTCCTCGGGTCCTAGGAGAGGCTGATTGCCGTTTCCCTGAGGCTTAGTTTTATTTCTCTTTTCTGGACAATCTCGTAAAAAGTGTCCATACCCTTGACAATGAACGCTGTGCGCCTCTACTCTCCCGCCCTCGACCGTTTCCAGTCGTGATCCTTCCTCAAGGCGGCGGGTAGATGAGCGCGCCCTTCCGGCTCCGTCACGTTACAACGGCAGATCGATGTATGTCGCTCCGCCTCCAGTAGCCTCCGCGGACTCCGTGCCTCCTTATGCCAGCCCGACTTCACCGCACCACCCAGCACACGCCCGTCAGCGCGCGCAACCTAATGCCTACCGTCTCTTCCCCGTAGATGCTCTCGGCGTACGCCCGGAAGGTTGTGTCTGAGAGTGTTTCTGATGCGAGTCTAATTTGTGACTGTGTGTGTCTGGGTGGCAACTGCCCCGGGGCCTTATATAGGGCCCACAGCCGCGAGCGCGCCCTCTCTAGACTACGCTGCTATAGTAATTTGTGCCACAATACTAACAGTATATGGAACAAGCTTTGTTAAATGATTGGGCCTGTCCCAATTGTTATTTTAATTTCCCTTGCTGGATGTTTAATCATACAGATTTGTACTTCCTATTCGGTAGATCACTGCTTACATGGTACTGGCCATCGTGGGATCCATGGCAACTGTTGCTATCATCACGCTTGCTGCTATGTCTGCAGGATTCGACAGGATGTTTTGCAGGTATAGTTACAGCCCAGATAGTGCGACATGCTTGTCAAGTCATGTAAGTAAGAATGTTATCCTTTGAACTATTGAGCTCAAATATAAGGTTCAAATATCTTTTTTTGACAATTTGCAATGCACACGTATGTAAGTGGATGTTGGATAGGGGTTGCATTTTTAGAATAATTAAATATTTGGTTATTCCGAATTGGACTTGATATTTGATTTTGAAATGCACTGATGAAAACAAGAGCCAGTCTCAGCTGACAATTAGGATTTGTGTTTGTATATTTGGCATGGCCCTGACTTACGATACATTTTTAATTGATACATTTGTTTTGGTATAGGTCTTTTTCATTTGTCTCTGAACCTAAACAGAATTTATGACTACTTTAACAACAAATGGAAACAGAAATTGCCACATTATATCAGGTTTTGTGTATCTTTTTTTTAATCATTTAAGGAGGCACGTGTTGCTGTTGGTGTCCTTCTCTGTCTGTTGGCATTTACAGATGCTGTAGTGGCAATAGTTGGTGCTGGCATGAGTTGTGGAGCCTTATGTTGCAGCACAGGCCACTCTACACCTCAGCCCAATGTAATGGTAAGCAATACTGTCCTTATTAAAAACACACAAGAACACTTGCATTTTGCATGTAAACAGGAGATGTACAGAAAATTACATAATTTAAACTAAACAATCAGGGGCGGTGGTACCGGGGGGGGGGGGGGGGGGGGTTGGCAAACCAAGTGTCTAGTGAAAAAAAAAGTGTTGACATTTCAGTTCGGATGTGCCCCCCCCCCCCAAAAAATTTGCTGGATACGCTGCTGCACCAACAGAAGATGCCTTTTACTGAGCAAGTGCCCCTTTTTGGTGATAACCCCCAGGTTTGAAACCATACCGCCGCCGCTGTTAACAATACCCAGTTTTTGACCAAATCCACAGACATTTTAACATGTTCATCTCTCCGGTTCTTTTCAGAACCACACATACTCACAAAAAGAGATTTTGCCACATGGTGCTACCGCAACAACCGCCTTATTATTACCCTCCACCATGCAAACCATGCATCAAATCTCAGGCCCCCCCCCCAATGTTGTCCAGCCCCCCCCCCCCCCAAAATTTCACTAGCCAAATTTGAGCATGTGACGTACACGTTATGCGAACGGTCTCCCCCTAAATAAATAGTCGTGAGAAGGGTGCATTAGTACACTTGTAGTTAATATAGTGTGCCTAATTGTAGGACTTCATCAGCACTCCCCATTGAAAATATGGCAACACGAGCCCCCCCCCCCCCTTGGTTTTCGGAGGCCTAAGTGTCCGGAGAAAATAACCAGTCTACATTTCAGCACGCCTCCCTGAAAAAAAATCTGTGGCGGATCCAGTTAGGTTCGTGGGGGGGGCGCAACGGCTCATTTGAGTGAAAAATGGCCTTATTTTACAAAATTTTGGTCACTGCCGGGGGGGGGGGGGGCACGCCCCCGTAACACCCCCTGGATCCGCCAATGAATCTTGATCCACCCTGCTAGCCCCCGCCAAAATATTGGCTCTAGAACTGTGCCTGGGGGAGGGGGAGAAGAGGGAAAACAAAAAGGAAAAAGATTAGGAGAGATTCAAATTGAATATAATACTGTTCATTCAATGTATATTTAGCAGTAGGAACTGCCGAAAAGACCCTAATACGCGCGTTTTTTTTTTTTACATAATATGTATATTGAGCATCAAATCATGTCCCGTTCCCCCTTCCCCCACCTTCAGCAACTTTTTCAAAATCCTGGCGATCCCCATACTGACAAGGTTGCTAAGGTAATCAGTTCTCTGGACATCTTCAAGGCTTCTAGTCCTAATCAGATCCCCACCATTGTTTTGAAGATTTGCTCACATTCAGTGTTCACTAACCTGTGCAATACTGTGTTTGTCTAAATCTGAATTTGTATCTAGTTGGAAGCTGACATCAGTTGTGCCTGTGTTTAAAGGCTCTGGGGAGAATTCTGACCCTGCTAACTATAGGCCAATTAGCCTCCCCTCCATCATGAATGAAGTTCTTGAGTTCCTGATGAATCAGCAACTCATGAACATCTTGGAGTAAAATAATCCCTTGAAAGGTGTGCAGCAGGGCTTTCGTCATTCACGTTCCAATAGAGACCTATCCCTTACATGGAACATCTGAATAAAGCTGTTGATCAGCATGGGGAATATAATCCCGGGACATACCGTTATTTCGTTTTACCGTTTTGGATTTTTTTAAAAACAAAAACAGTAAATGCACCGTTCACCGTTTTTTCGTTTTACAGTTTTGTAAAACGGTCAAACGGTATTAAGTCACACACAAAAAATACTTTTTGTTGTTGTTTTTAATTGTAGAAAGCGTTAAACGGTTAGTTGTTTTATTTTTAGAGTGTTGTTTTACAAAATCATGACAATGACAAAACGGTCAATAGTCTTGCCGACCATTTTTTGATTTAGGTTCGGCAATTAAGCAATGCACCTAGGAATGTTAATGCGTCCTTGGGATCGAGTCATTGCCTGGGCCCTCCTTACATTTTCGTTCTCACGACAGAATTTGCGAATTAGCTATTGAAGAGCCGCGTCGACTTGAACTCCAATTTCCTTCAAAATATCTGCAACTTCATCAAACGTTTTACCATCCTGTAGCCATTGTAAAAAGTAATGCCCTCCCTTGCAGTTTTCCAGCGCCATTTTTGCTTGCAACTCTTTAAGCCCCACCAACTGAATCGCATGAGAAGGGGGTCAGGGTCCGCGCCAGGAATCACACCACGCATTAATTATGCCGAGCCAACACTCGTGTAAAGCATGGTCCCCCTCCACCCCCTTGCCCACCGCCACAAAATGCACCACGGACTGTTAACTATGACACTAAAATAAAGAAACAGTCTGTATTCAATACTGACCGTTTTGCTGTTTTTCAAAGTTATTTGTGTAAAACTGTAAAACAAAAATAATCGATCGATCGTTATATGCTATAAATGAATTTTACTATTTATAAAACGGAGAAACCGTATTTATCTTAATACCGTTTGACCGTTTTACAAAACTGTAAAACGACAAAACGGTCAATGGTTTGTTTACTGTTTTTGTTTTGAGGAAATGCAAAATGGTAAAACGAAATAACGGTATGTCCTGGGATTGAATATAAATCCTGGTACATACCGTTATTTCGTTTTACCATTTTGGATTTCCTCAAAAACAAAAACAGTAAACGAACCATTGACTGTTATGTCGTTTTACAGTTTTGTAAAACGGTCAAACGGTATTAAGATAAATACGGTTATTCCATTTTATCAGTTGAGTAAAATTCATTACAGCATAACGATCATTGATTTTTGTTTTCCAGCTTTACACAAATAACTTTGAAAAACAGCAAAACGGTCAGTATTGAATACAGACAGTTTTTATTTTTTATTTCAGTGTCATAGTTAACAGTCCGTAGTGCATTTTGTGGCGGTGGGCAAGGGGGTGGAGGGGACCATGCTGCGCATGAAGAAGTGTTACCTCGGCATAATTAATGCGTGGTGTGATTCCTGGCGTAACCCTGACCCCCATCTAGTACTGTGATTAATTGGTGGGGCTTAAAGAGTTGCAAGCAAAATGGCACTGGAAAATTTCAAGGAGGACATTTCAGAATGGATACAGGGTGGTAAGACGTATGAAGAAGTTGCAGATATTTTGACGGAAATTGGAGCCTGAGTTTGGCGTGGCTCCTCAATAGCCAATATTTGCAAATTTTGTCGGGAGAACGTGATACAGTGTAATTGTAAGGAGGGCAATCTCCCAGGCAGTGAAACGATCCCAAGGACACATTAACATTGCAAGGTGCATTGCTTAATTGCCAAACCTGAATCAAAAAATGGTCGACGAGACTATTGACCGTTTTGTCATTGTCATGTTTTTGTAAAACAACACTCTAAAAATAAAGCAACTAACCGTTTATCGCTTTTTACATTAAAAAAAAATAACAAAAAGGTCATTGTTTTTTGTGACTTAATACCGTTTGAACGTTTTACAAAACTGTAAAACGACAAAACAGTCAATGGTTCGTTTACTGTTTTTGTTTTTGAGGAAATCCAAAACGGTAAAATAAAATAACGGTATGTGCCGGGATTAATCTAGACTCATCGCCCCTGGCATGTCAAAAGCCTTTTGATAAAGTTTGGCACAATTGTTTGTTACACAAGATGGAGTCTTATGGAATCTTTCCTTACATTAATGACTTGACTGCAATCAAAGCTGACCATTTATGCAGACAACTTCACTTTGTTATGCCACAGTGGATTTATACAATATAATCCTTACATGCAATACCCCGCACATGGATTAAGTTATTACAATAACTCTCACAAAGAGTCCATATACCTGAACCTGGCTCAGCTCAATGACAGCAAAGCTTAAGGTATATCTCATGGGTTCTACAGTAACCCTCAGCCAACTACATGGAGTGTTCGGGTTGATTAGACGAGGGGATAATAACCTTCACACAAAGATGGTGACCCTCACAAGAACTCAGAGTGCTACAAATAGTCAACCTGATAGACAAGGTAGCCCAGTGATTGCGGGATCGTCTCAGTCATCACCCCCACCATATGGTGTGCAACAGACGACAAGCAATGCACCACAAATCAAAGTACTGCTCTTTACAACTCCTGCCCCTTTTGTTCCAACACTAATCCAAACCCATTAATTAGTTGTACACCCACTACAAATCCACCTAAATCTTAGATAACAATAATCTTAAATAACTGGCTGTCTTAAATAACACGGACTGCTACACTCAATCGCACTGGAGCACCAGAGCGTGATCACCATCAGACCACTACTACTCCGACCACATGGTAGTTCCACTGCTGCACAGCAGCCACGGATGACCCCAGCAAGGGCACCAGGGGCGGATTGCAATAACCGGTCTTAAAGCTGGCTATGCGCATTAGACAGTCTAAAAGCTCTGGCTGTCAGTCAGTCTATAAAGTAAGACCATTGCAATGACACAGTTTAAGTAGTAAGACAGTCTTAAATAATTAGCCTGGGTTGGGCTGGCTTAAAATGGTCTATAGTTGGGATTTTTGGAATTCACTGGTGTGTTGAATTATTCTTTCCCAAAATATTTTTTTTTACAGTTGATGAGAGTTTGATAATTAAATCTTAAAATAGCAGAACACTGCTTGGAGGATAAATTCTCTGGGATAGAAGGGATCTTCTGGAAAATGCATGATGTTACACAAACCTAAAAAAAAAAATAGCGCAGTCTCTCCAGTATTCGCCCGTAACCATGGAATGTTTGTTTGTGAATCATTACTCTAAGCGGGCTTAGTAAAGACCAGCTTATTGCAATGGGCTAAGTTTGGTGTCTTAACCAAGACCGTCTAAGAACAATAGCCGGCTAAAATCGGACTGGTTTAGCCAGCCGACTAAGACCGCGTTATTGCAATCCGCCCCAGAACTTGGCTTGTTCCTACCGCCACAAGCTTGGCTTCTTGCAACATTGGCAACAGCACCAGAACAAGTTTCTACTGCATTAAAACTAGCCTTGACATCAGACTACCCCTGTTCCGTCACAATACCATATACTAATGGTTGCGTGTACATGTATAAGGACCCTTATGAGTGCCTATTGCATTGTTTCTTTGAACACGTGAGTTTGTCAAGAGACAATACAATCTCATTTAACTCTGAATGCAGGTAATGGTGAGTTGGGTTTCTATGTTTATGAGCTTAGTTTCATTTGTTCAAGCATTTGATATACATGTACATGATATACTGTTATAATTCATTAATGGTAATGAAGCAAAGAAATTCCTGAAGTGCCCATTTTCGTCATATGTTTTCCCTTTGTTATAAATGGGTTGGGTTTTTGCATACTAGACAGCAAACCACACATGAATTACAAACTGTATGACATGAATTCTAAGAAATGATCCTTACATTTTACAGGTGTGTTATACTACCGGACCACAAATGACTGTCCCTCAACAGAGTGCTATGAGTAACCCTGCATATGGAGGCCCACCAAACTATGGTAATTACATCCCATTCAAATATGAAATGTACTGTGGGGTGCTGCTAAAGATCTCTTTTAAGACAATTTAGTACTTGGTGATTTATCTAAGCAAAAGTGAAAGTATAAACAAAAGAACAAAAGGCTTGAGCCCCCCCCCCCAGGTTGTAAATTTTTTTTTTTTTGGAATTTTTTTTTAGTCCCACAATTTGGCCTTGGTGATATGTATGTGGCCTATTTTCGAGTAGTATAATAAGTAAGTAGTAAGTGGTGCCACCAATGTCAAAATAGTCCCCCCCCCAAAAAAAAAAAACCCAAATTTTTTTTTTCTCAAGCCAAATATTTTGGGCAACATTTTAAAAAGTTTTTTAAACTTCAAAAAATTTGAAAAAAAAAAAAATTTGAGGCCCCCCCCAGCCAAATCCTGGGTGGGCCACTAAGGCAAATGACCGTAAAATGTACAGTACAACTTCCACAGAAATGAATTAAATGATTGGGTGATCAGAAAGGTTGTCTTATTCCTTCATTTAAGCACCTATTATCATTTATCAATGTCCACCGCAGTTATCCATGGCAATGACGTAATGAACTCAATACCATTGAATAGAGGACATACTGATTGTTTTCTGGATATGTCTGGATTTGTGAAAATTTACATTTGAAGATGGGAATGTTTGTTTAAACACCCTGTATAACTGGTCACAATGTAACTAGTCTATCGATGTAGGAGCACAGGATGCTGGCTCATTGTACATGGCTACCAGAATTTAAAGGGGCACTAGGTCCTGAAATCCCCCAAAATGTTATGTTTTGGATTGTTTACTTAGCCTATTTCAAACATCTGGTTGAAAGGAAACCAACCTAATGTCTTACCGTTCCCAAGAAAAGACGAAAAAGCCAGCTTGTTTACATCGGACATGACGGAGTACGAATACGTTTTTCGTGTCGTTCTCATGTACGCTATACACGTTGTGTGTCTCAGGAACAGCGTGCAATGACCAATCACCAATGCAAAAAATTGTGGTTTCTTCAACGTCCGCAAAAGGCGAACACTTTACGCGTACGAATGAAATCACAACTAGCATCCAAACAGCTCGAATTTATGGGGTCGCAAAAGTGGTTCCCGAAATGCGTTCTCGCACACATAATACAGGAATAACACAAAAACGCCCAGTTTTAAAAGGATAGTTGTGTGGATGTTTATATCCTACTTTTAAAAGTTATTTCCGATTATCATCGGGTGGGTGGGTGGGTGGGTGGGTGGTGGGTGGGTGGGTGGGGTGGGTGGGTGGGTGGGTGGGGGTGGGTGGGTGGGTGGGTGGGTGGGTGGGTGGGTGGGTGGGGGTGGGTGGGTGGTGGGTGGGTGGGTGGGTGGGTGGGTGGGTGGGTGGGTGGGTGGGTGGGTGGGTGGGTGGGTGGGGGTGGGTGGGTGGGTGGGTGGGTGGGTGGGTGGGTGGGTGGGTGGGTGGGTGGGTGGGTGGGTGGGTGGGTGGGTGGGTGGGTGGGTGGGTGGGTGGGTGGGTGGGTGGGTGGGTGGGTGGGTGGGTGGGTGGGTGGGTGGTGGGTGGGTGGGTGGGTGGGTGGGTGGGTGGTGGGTGGGTGGGTGGGTGGGTGGGTGGTGGGTGGGTGGGTGGGTGGGTGGGTGGGTGGGTGGTGGTGGGTGGGTGGGTGGGTGGGTGGGTGGGTGGGTGGGTGGGTGGGTGGGTGGGTGGGTGGGTGGGTGGGTGGGTGGGTGGGGGTGGGTGGGTGGGTGGGTGGGTGGGTGGGTGGGTGGGTGGGTGGGTGGGTGGGTGGGTGGGTGGGTGGGTGGGTGGGTGGTGGGTGGGTGGGTGGGTGGGTGGGTGGGTGGTGGGTGGGTGGGTGGGTGGGTGGGTGGGTGGGTGGGTGGGTGGGTGGGTGGGTGGGTGGGTGGGTGGGTGGGTGGGTGGGTGGGTGGGTGGGTGGGTGGGTGGGTGGGTGGGTGGGTGGGTGGGTGGGTGGGTGAGTTTGTCTTACATACGCAGTGTGGACTTCCGAACAAAAGACGTCCACATAATGTAGGTAGCACCGACGTTGTGTGGACTTACCCCACGTCCACACAGTGTTTCCCCATTTCTGGAAAACAGGTTTAGAGGCATTTTTGGGTTAGGTTTATCTGTAGCAGAATGAAGAGAAACACTAAAGGGAATCATAGAAAAAAAATTGGGTTGAAAGAGTTTTCACAGTTTGAGAAAAATGAGTTTTTTCACTGGTTTTTCTTAACTACACGAAAGCAATGGAAAGTCCACACTAGTCATGTGAAACAAGTATGGGTGTGTGGGTGTGTGTGTGTGTGTGTGTGTCCGGACAAATCTTGTCAGCGCGATAACTTGAGAAATACTTAAAATATGAACTTCAAATTTGGTTTGTGGATTGTTTCTTGGTAATCCTAAGAAGCCTTTTGCATTTGGGGCCAAAAGGCCAAAGGTCAAGTTCACAGTGGCTAAAACAATAGAAATCTTGTCAGCGCAATAACTTGAGAAATACTTAACATATGAACTTCAAATTTGGTTTGTGGATTGTTCTTGGTAATCCTAAGAAGCCTTTTGCATTTGGGGCCAAAAGGCCAAAGGTCAAGTTCACAGTGGCTAAAACAATAGAAATCTTGTCAGCGCGATAACTTGAGAAATAATTAACATATGAACTTCAAATTTGGTTTGTGGATTGTTCTTGGTAATCCTAAGAAGCCTTTTGCATTTGGGGCCAAAAGGCCAAAGGTCAAGTTCACAGTGGCTAAAACAATAGAAATCTTGTCAGCGCGATAACTTGAGAAATACTTTACATGTGAACTTCAAATTTGGTTTGTGGATTGTTCTTGGCAATCCTAAGAAGCCTATTGCATTTGGGGCCAAAAGGTCAAGGGTCAAGTTCACAGTGGCTAAAACAATAGAAATCTTGTCAGCGCGATAACTTGAGAAATACTTAACATATGAACTTCAAATTTGGTTTGTGGATTGTTCTTGGTAATCCTAAGAAGCCTATTGAATTTGGGGCTCAAGGGTCAAGTTCACAGTGGCTAAAACAATAGAAATCATGTATTTATTCTGAGATTATAGGGATTAGGGATTAATTCATATAAAACCTACAGAAGACACTAATGCTGTCAATGAATGTTCCATGTGACCAAGGTACATGTAAGTTGATGTTAAAAGAGTGGTGTTATGTCATGGGAACTGTCACCGTTGCGGGGCATTTGTGTTTGTAAACACACCTGACTTGTTTTTTCTTGTTCATGTATTTATACCTTTATGTGACAACCGAGAATGAGAAAATGCTAATCGACAAGGATGGTTTGCTTAATGATGTCCTGTTCTTTCATGGTGTTGCTGCATGTTTACCAAACAGTCCTGAAAAGATAAAATACAAAAGTCCTTTGTCAGTATTTTGCGTTATCTCTGCAAATGTCGAAGGGTTCTCATCTTCAAAGCATAACATCCTAGCTGAGCTTTGCAGTAAGATGCATTGTGACATCCTATGCTTGCAGGAGACACACAGAGGGAACGAGAACAACCGTCCCAAAATACATGGTATGGTCTTGGCATGTGAGCATCCCCATCGTCAGTATGGCAGTGCTATCTTTGTCAAACCAGGCTCTGCTATAGAAGCTACCTCAAGATCAGAAGAACAAAACATCAAAGTTCTAACTGTTGAGTTGAGCAGTATTGTGATAACATCTATATACAAACCACCAGGAGTAGTCTTCAGCTTCCGAGATCCTGTTCCTCAAATTTACAACAAACCACAAGTTATAATCGGAGACTTAAACTGTCAGAGTACCCAGTGGGGCTACATGGATACAAACAAGGATGGAGAAGCGGTTGAAGAGTGGATGGATGCCAACCAGCTTAGTCTTATCCATGACCCCAAATTGCCTCCATCATTCTATAGCGCCCGTTGGAGACGTGGCTACACCCCAGACTTAGCTGCTGTCACCTGTGATATTGCAGGTCTGTGTTAGAAGATTGTAATGGATCCTGTACCACAGACTCAACACCGTCCTATTGGTATCCAAGTCAACGCAGCAGTAGTACCTACCGTTGTGCCATTTAAAAGGCGCTTTAACTACAAGAGAGCTGACTGGAATGGATTCAGTCAGGAGCTGGAACAGAAGATCAAAAACATCAAACCCACACTGGATAACTATAACATGTTCACCGAACTTGTTAAAACTGCACGAAGGCACATCCCCCGAGGCTGCAGGGTGGAGTATATTCCTGGTCTCTCTAAAGAGGCAGCTGCTCTTTACAATGACTATGTTACAATGTTTGAAACTGATCCCTTCTCAGAGGCAACAACATCAGCTGGGGAGAAGGTGATGGAAAGCATCTACCAAGAGCGCCAACAAACCTGGAACGCACTGCTTGAGGCAACAGACATGTCAAAGAACAGCAAGAAGGCGAGGTCTCTAATCCGCAAGCTTCGTGGTGATCCGAACGTTTTGCCCCTCAACAATCCAAGGTCACTGCAAATCAAGTTGCGCATCAATTGCTCTTGAATGGGAAAAGCGAAAAAAAAACAGCAAAGGATCAAGCTAGACCGTAACAAGTGCACCGAAGACCCTGGTTTCACAAGACCATTCACCATGGAAGAGCTAGAAATCGGCTTGTCAAGTCTCAAACCAGGAAAGGCCATTGGGCTAGACAACATCGCAACTGAGCAGATCAAGTACTTTGGACCTGAGGCAAAGAAGTGGCTTCTGCAGTTGTATAATCACTGTCAGACAACACATAAGCATCCTAAGATCTGGAAGAAAGATCATGTGATAAAGCTGCTAAAACCAGGGAAAGATCCATCAAGCCCAAAGAGCTACAGACCAATTACACTTCTCAGCCATACCTACAAGCTGTTCGAATACTAATCCTTAACAGAATAGCTCCAACAGTAGACGAACGCCTCATCCCTGAGCAAGCAGGATTTTGTCCTGGAAAATCAACAACAAGCCAAGTGCTCAACCTGACACAACACATCGAAGATGGTTTTGAGAAAGGGATGGTAACCGGTGC